AATACATCAATATAAACAGTTACTAATTTTATATCCTGATTTCTTAGTCCAATAGTGTTTAAGAGATATACTAATTAAACACATTTAGTTAATAATCGTAAAGCAGCAGTTAAAAAGTCTCTAGCTGCCTGGAGTTGGCTAATCAGTTCGGTCGACGCGTTCAGCGAGTTTAGTTGCTAGCTGACAGAAAGAAGCTGCACTAAAGTACGAATTTTATCCTCGCGATAGTGAATGTGTAAAGAACCCCTTTTTAACAAACGATCTTTAATCCCAGAATTCAAGCAATAGTTTATTCATAGGCATTGATCAACGATCTCTATCTTCAGAAATCTACAATTATTTGGATCGTTATCGGTATAGTTCTCCCCCGGTTTTTGTGTAAGCTTTAGGCTAATCATGCTATCAAGACTGACAATATCAATAATTCTGCTACTTATTATAGGTATGAACATGTTGCGTTTCTCAATATAATATAATTTATAAAAATATGTAAGAAAATATTATATTTATAAAATAATATTTAATTACAAACATTTATTATTTCTTTGTAACTTATTAGATTGATCACATATTACAAGGAATTACATTAAATATTGATTTCTCGATCTTATAAATTTATTCATTTTCAAATTTAATCACTATATTACAGCAAAAAACTTTGTTTTTATATCCTTTCTTAATTATATAAAATAATTAAGAAATAAAATAATTAAGAAATAAAATAATTAAGAAATACATAATATTATATAAAATAACATATATTATATATAATAATAATAAAAAATATATTAAAAGATTTTAGCATTTCCAAATGTTGAAAATTTTATTTCAAGATTGTGGAAAAGTTATTTTCACATAATACTCTATTTCTTGTATTTTTTTAAAAAGACATTAAATTAAATGATAGTAATTCACTTAATAAAATAAGTACAAGTGTTCCGTTAAAGGAAACATCTCGGTTCATTCACCGAGTAGATAGATAATGTATCACGATAATAAAATATACTTTTGATGATTCTATATTTCCTTTACTTTATAAAATTTATAATTAATAATTATTTTCTTTAATTAATTATAAATAAAAAAGACTTTTTTCAAATAATAATTCATTTAAAAAACAAAATATTAATTTTGTTCTTTGCATATTCCAAAATCAATTAATCCGAGCAGATATATTTTATCTTATTAAATTTTTATCAAATATTTATTCAGCCAAGTAGAAAATGTAATGAACACATTCAATAGTAAAAATAATTCCTTCAGTATTCTTTTTCATTATGTTATCTTTTCAGGGTAAATAAACTGCAGATATATTCATTGTAAAGAGACAACGTTTATGAAAAAAATATTGTAGATAAAAAGCAGAATTATGCTTAAATAATAATTTTATTATTTAATTTCAATAAATACATTTTTTTTCATTTCTAAATTTTAGATTTATTATATTAAATTTTATTATATACTATAATATATATATAATGATTTTACGAAATTTCATTTATCATCTATTGATAGAAGAGTATTCTATTACAATATTATCATTTAATCTCATGATAAAATTTTAAATAAAATTTATCTAGAAGTAAAATTAAATATAAAAGTATTCTATTAAGTAATATAATATTTTTTAATAAAAAAATAAAAAATGATAAAAAATTAATCATTTTAATTGATAAATTAAACAATATATTAATATTTATGAATTAAAGATACATAATTACAACTATTATTTTAACTATTACGAATTATATCATTAAAATATTTTATCTTAATTATAATAATAGACATACTATCAAAAACTAATGCTTGCGATTTGGATCAAATGCAATATGGATGTCGTATCTATAATGCACAATGCAGATGCGGTTATGGTTGTTCTTCTGAATACAGATATAATAGTAATGAAGATTGTAAAGAAGCGTTAAGAGGTAATAACTTACCTGTTAATTTCAGTCATAATATTATATGTTATTATTCATAGATATTTTTTCATAAATATTTAAAAGAGTAAAAATGTTCAATATTGATTTGAAAATTCAATATTAAAAGATTCAAATAATTATTTTTTTTAGGTAAGCGTAGCGATATATGTTATCGTACAAAACCTTGTTTAAATGGAGGATCATGTTTACAAATATCATCAGAACCTGGATTTAAATGTCGCTGTGAAGGAACTGGTTATTATGGATCACACTGTGATAAACGTTAGTAATTTTTAATTTAAAAAATTAATTTAATTTTAGTATTAAAAAATTAAATTATAAATTTTGCATTTGTACATGTTTCACTAAATAATTGGTAATTTGAAATGATAAAAAATATTTTAATCAACTTTTAATTATTTAAATGTACGAATTTTTAATTATTTAAAGATATATTATTATAATAAAATATATCATGACAAAATTTAATAAGTATAATAAATAAAAAATATTGAAATATCTTTTAAATAAAATTATATATTTTGCAGCTTGTCCAGGTCCAAATAATCAACGTTTCCGAGGACTCTTTCCTTATGAATGTGTTGTGATCTAATTCAACTTGTCTTTTTTTAATCTATTAAATACATTTAGCATGTTAAGTACAAAAAATAAACATATTTTGCAAAAATTTACACATCTTTGTACATACATAATAAATATATTGTATATATGATAATTTTTCTTGTGTTATTAAGAATTAAAAAAATATAAATAATAATTCTTAAAAAAATTATAATCTATAAAAAATTTCAATTTTTTATGTTTTTAAAATCTCTGAGATTCATAAAAAAGAAATATCTTTGATATTTTCACTGTTTATTCATCAATAATTTTACAATATGTATGCACATGATGTGTTGGATCCACAAAGTTTCGAACAAACATTTAGTTTGTATTGTGTTTGCATTAATGCACATCGTTACTTTATTTCTTTCATCTATTTTCTATAATGCCACGTGTACCTCGCTTGTTGTTTTTGATGGCAAAATTTATAAAATGCAATTTTTTTTTACTTTTCACATAAGTACTTCTTATAATTCTTTTGTATATATCGACTGAATCCATAATACTAATTTGATTTTATATTTTAACACGAGACTGCATCAGGAACTTAACGACATGTATATATATTTATATGTTATATATTATCTAGGACAAACAATTGGCCAGTTGTAACTTTTTACAAATTCATAGACATTTTCTCATCAACAGAGTAACACGTTACAATAATTTATATAGTAGAACACATGTCTGCTTGGACTATAAAATTCATAAATTTCAGTAAATAATATGAATGCAGTTTTCTTCTTTTTTGATTATATGGCCAATCAATGTTATCATATATGCTGTAGTGCATATGACACTGATTTTTTTACTATTGTGTTATTTCAACTGATTGTGATATATGTTGCAGGTAAAACAAATATTCTAAATAAAATAATATAAATAAAGATTTTATCAACATGTACGTATATTTTTATAAAGATAGACGGGACATTATCTTTGAACATTACAAACAGGCAGATTGTCAAACAGTTCAATGTTAAATTATTTGAATGACGAAACATTTTTACAATTTTTATTGGAAAAAAAATGTGTAATAATTAGAAGTTCTAATAATATTTCATAATCATTTTTTATAATTATGAAAGTCTATTACATAAG